GGGGTTGTGGTGGGAGGGGGCAGTTAGGGGACAAGGAACAGGGAGTCTTAGGTAGGGGGTGGGGTTCTGGAGGGCAGTTAGGAGCAGGGGTCCCAGGAGGGGGCAGTTAGGGGACAAGGAACAGGGAGTCTTAGGTAGGGGGTGGGGTTCTGGAGGGCAGTTAGGAGCAGGGGTCCCAGGAGGGGGCAGTCAGGGGACAAGGAACGGGGGGAGGGTTGGGGGTTCTTGGGGGGCGGGAAGTGGGAGGGGCAGGGGCGGGGCTAGGGCGGGGCTCCTCCCGTCCTCTTTTTTGCTTGCTGAAATATGGTAACCCTAACTTACCAGTGTGGTGCCCAGCCCAGCTCTAGGGATGGCTGGGCCGTACATAGAGGTTGATGAGCCTGCTACAGCCTGGGCTAAGAGAGGTGGGTCTTTTGGCTCAGGCAGGAAAGAACTGTGCTCTTAGCTCTGGTGGAGGCAGGTTCAGCCCCCATGCAGGGGCTCTATCATTCTTATGGAATGGACGGGGGGTGCCCCAGAAAGGGGCTACATGCGGATACAGGTTTGGATATGAAACTCTTGTATCACAGGAGACTAGCCTGGATGCACAGCAGTGAAAATCTCAAGCCCAGACAGGTTTAGGTGCAATTTAAGTGCATAGTTCTAGGTAGGGAGATCAGGCTTAGAGTCAGCTTTGGCCTCCGGATCCTTGTGTCAGTGGCAAGTAATCCTGTCCTGAGAAATCCAACACGTACATTCCAGAGACAGAGACGCAGCAGGAGATTGACGATACACATACAACGAACAACAGCTATGAAGAGACACTTACATCTTCAACACGCCAGTACTGCCCGCATTGGCATCCTGTGTGAGAGGGAATCAGACCAATCAGCTACTGATACAGTCACACAAACAACAGTAATGATAATGTACCAGAACCTCCGCTCGGGGGATCAGCACAGCCCCAGTGACTCCAATGGAGTGACAACCAATTCTCCCCAGGTGTGGATCTGGTCCCATCGAATTGGAGCTACAGCCCATTTACATCAGCTGGGGACCTGGTCCCAAACTTCCTGCTTCCGTAAAAAATGACCTTGTGACTCAACATTCTAAACCAGATTTCTGGTCAGTCTGAAATGTGGTCACTGCAGGACCACACTGGAGGGACATAGCTGGTTTTAACTAGCCTTTACCTATCCCTTGTGCCAAGACTGACAGACTCTGCCCCAAATTTGCTCTAATTTAAGACCAGTTCCTACAGCCTCGGGGCACTTTTCTGTCAAGCAAGGCTCAGCTGGACTCAGCTGTGTCCCAGCACTGCCCCATTTTGCAGTGGCTTGCAAAGGAGCTGGCACAGGAACATCTCTGTAGGTATACACCATTAGGGTTAAGCCAAATGGCTGCCTCCTAGCAAACACACCTGGTATTACAATAATGAAGCACTCAAAAGCAGCCAGAGAAAATATTGATATAAAGTTTTTCTGAGACTTACTCCACAGTTTTTCACGGAGATTATTTTTCCAATTTGTCACATCAAAGAGAAGGTCGCCCGGCATGGTCGGAAGGTAGGTCCCCTTAAACAAACACAGTTGGACACCTTTACTACAGCACTGGGGCAGCACAGAAGGAGGGGCTTGTGGATAGAGTGTTGGATGGGGATTCGGGAGATACAGGTTTGGTTCTTGGCATTGCCCAGATGCACAGTGACTAAGATCAGAACCTCATTGTACCAAGCACTGCACAAACATGAAGCGACTAAGACTGGGGTTCTGTTGGGTCAAGAACTGCACAAACACCCAGTGACTAAGATCAGAGTCCCATCAGGCTGGGGGCTGCACAGATGCCCAGTGACTAAGATCAGAACTCGTTGTACCAAGCACTGCACAGACACACAGCGACCAAGATCGGGATTCTGTTGTGCCAGGTGCTCACAGACACATAATGAGACAATCCCTGCCCCAATGATGCTTACAATATAAATAGACAAGAGGTGAGAGGAGAAACTAAGGATAAGAAAGATTCAGTGACTTGCCCAAGTCACCCAGGGAGTCTGTGGCAGAGCTGAGAACAGAACCCAGGAAACCTGAGTCTTAGTCCAGTGCCTGATCCCCTCAATAACACAGTTCCTTTGAAGGAGTAATAAAGTAGCAGTACTGACTCAAAACAAAATGGGCCTGTCTAAGTGCTCAGCCTCCAAAGCAGGCTGCCAGCTAGGCCACATCAATTCTCACAAGGGGTGTGTCTTATTTCCCTTTGAGAGACATGGTGGGTGGCATAACATCTCTTATTGGACCAACTTGTCTTGGGGAGAGACACGATTTTGGCTGGTCTCATTCACCAACAGAAGTCAGTCCAATGCAAGATATTACCCCACCGACCTTGTACAACTTATTTACCTTTGATATGCCACACCCCTCCGTGGCACTCTGTCAATAAAAAAAGCTATTTGTGCTACATTGACCCAGCTTCATGCCAAATTCTCCCTTTTCGTCCCAAGTACAGATGTTCATTCCTGTATGCTGTGTGGCTTTCTCAACCCAAATTCGTCCTCTGGGAATCTGGTGCCGGAACTTGGAAAGCTAATTAGATGAGTGCAAAGGGAAAGAGTCATTGATGCTAAGACCAACCAGCCCGCCCTCCTGCATAGCACAGGCCAGAGAATCTCACGCAGCGATTCCTGCATCCAGCCCAGTGACATGTGGAAATTGTGATTTCCCATTTGATTTCAATGGGAAAAATCTAATTTTATCAGATGACAATAATATAATAAGGTGGATAGAAAGCTGGCTAAATCGTCGGGCTCAATGGGTAGTGATCAATGGCTCCATGTCTAGTTGGCAGCCGGTATAAAGTGGAGTGCCCCAAGGGTCGGTCCTGGGGCCGGTTTTGTTCAATATCTTCATTAATGATCTGGAGGATGGTGTGGACTGCACCCTCAGCAAGTTTGCAGATGACACTAAACTGGGAGGAGTGGTAGATACGCTGGAGGGTAGGGACAGGATACAGAGGGACCTAGACAAATTAGAGGATTGGGCCAAAAGAAATCTGATGAGGTTCAACAAGGACAAGTGCAGAGTCCTGCACTTAGGATGGGCGAATCCCATGCACTGCTACAGACTAGGGACCGAATGGCTAGGTAGCAGTTCTGCAGTAAAAGGCCTAGGGGGTTACAGTGGACGAGAAGCTGGATATGAGTTAATAGTGTGCCCTTGTTGCCAAGAAGGCTAACGGCATTTCGGGCTGTATAAGTAGGGGCATTGCCAGCAGATCGAGGGACGTGATCATTCCTCTCTTTCGGCATTGGTGAAGCCTCATCTGGAGTACTGTGTTTTGGGCCCCACACTATAAGAAGGATGTGGAAAAATTGGAAAGAGTCCAGCGGAGGGCAACAAAAATGATTAGGGGGCTAGAGCACATGATTTATGAGGAGAGGCTGAGGGGACTGGGATTATTTAGTCTGCAGAAGAGAAGAATGAAGGGGGATTTGATAGCTGCTTTCAACTACCTGAAAGGGAGTTCCAAAGAGGATGGATCTAGACTGATCTCAGTGGTGGCAGATGACAGAACAAGGAGCAATGGTCTCAAGTTGCAGTGGGGGAGGTTTAGGTTGGATATTAGGAAAACATTTTTCACTAGGAGTGTGGTGAAGCACTGGAATGGGTTACCTAGGGAGGTGGTGGAATCTCCATGCTTACAGGTTTTTAAGGCCGGACTTGACAATGCCCTGGCAGGGATGATTTAGTTGGGGATTGGTCCTGCTTTGAGCAGGGGGTTGGACTAGATGACCTCCTGAGGTCCCTTCCAACCCTGATATTCTACGATTCTATGATAATGTTTCATTGCAAACAGACACACACAGATGGACAGGCCTGCAGGCAGCTAATCCAGGGCTCCAAACAGGGGTAACTGTGTGAGAGTCTCTGGCTTGGGTTATGCAGGAGGTCAGACTAGATGGTTATAATGGTCTTTTCTGGCCTGAAATTCTATGAATACTATTTCCCTGGAGCCCCCAGAACCTAAGGCAGGTGCTGCCATGCACATATCCCCGGCATTCATCATTATAGAAGGGGGAAAATGCAAATAGTGACTTTGTGGGTTTTTGTAACAGAAAATCCAAAGTCTCTGGTTAGTGACTGAGTTAAAAGAAAGGGATGAGACCCAAAAGCAAAGTGCAGGTGAGATGGCCATGATTTCAGATGATTTCAAATATATCTGTATTTATAGGGACTGATCGTAAGTTCCTCCTACACCCAAAAATTGCCGTACCTGACACTGCAGACAGAAACGGTCCCTGGGCTGATACTAGGTTCAGGGCTGGTGGCATGAAGGGGATGAGGGCACCGACTTCACAGAGCTTCTAGGGCTGAGGAGGGGTGCACTCACTCTTTGCAGAAAAAGCTTTTGACTCACCTTGACAGTGCTGGGCTGGAAGCAGATGGATTTGAATAGCTCGGTGAGCGGGTGCTGGGACAGGGTCAGCATGAGAGCGGTATGCAGCACCACTTCCAGCAAGGCTGAGTTCTCCTGGCTGCTCACGTCACTCATGATCTTTTCCAATTTGTTTTCCACAGATTCTTCTGAGGGCAGCGATGCTTGTAGGAGCCTCTCCATGTGCTTTGTGATGGCCTATATGACAATCAAATAAAACAGAGAGGGGTTTAATTGGCTCCACTTTTCACATTTCACGCCAGAGGGTCACACCGATCTCTGTTGTGTTTCATAATCAGCACAAGACCAAGGTGTGGGGTTCAGTGATTGCTCAGTGCATAGAAGCTTGTTCTATGTCTGGTTCCAGCTGGCTGTGATAAGAACAAGAGATTCACAGCACCTCACCTGAGACTCTATCTGGGAAGCTCAGTCCTTAAAGGCACATTCCCTATAACTACTTTAGGCACCAGTTAAGTCCCATACAGGTCCTATGTGGCAGATGGTGCTTGGTCCTGCCACGAGTGGAGGGGGCTGGACTTGATGGCCTCTCAAGGTCCCTTCTAGTTCTCTCATTCTCTGATTCAGGTCCTATGTGGCAGATCCTTAGCTGGTGTAAATTGTGCTGGCTTTCTGCACAGGGGTGAATTTCACTCGTACAGAATCACAAACAAAACCATGTTCCATTAAAATAGAAAACAGCCACTCACTGTTAGTTGCTTGGCTTCTTCAGAGTCTGTGTTTTTAATGTGCTCTCTTGCTCTGTCTAGCGTCACAAGCATCAGTGGTTCATTGGAGCTGACTTTTATGTCCTAAAGAAATAAATACTTTTGTTATAAAGAAGCTGTTCATGTATCTTTTATGTACTTATTTATTAAGGCACATCATTCTACACCAAGAGGTCACTAACGAATCCTATTAGACCAGTTACATTTGAAGGTTAATCAAAATGTTTTTCATGTATTTTATTATGAATTATTATTCTCATTTTATATATTGTTTTATTATTTGTATTATGGCAGTGTCTAGAAGCCCCCGTCTTGATTGGGGCCCATAGTGCCAGGCACTGCCCAGACACACAGCAACTGACATCAGTGCCCCATTTGCATAGGGCGCTGCACAAATACACAAGTCTGGTCTACACTACAGACCTATATCAGTATAACTATGTTGCTCAGGGTGTGAAAAATAAACACCCCTGAGTGATGTAGTTATGCTGGCCTAACCCCCCATGTAGAGAGCCTCTCCTGCTGATGTAGCACCACCTGTTGGGGAGGTGGATTAACTATTCCGACAGGCTCTCCTGTCAGCCTATAGCATCCTCTATCACTGCAGAGTTTTAAGTGTAGACCTGCCCACGGTAGTTGAGATCAGCACCCCATTGTGCGAGGTGCTGGGCAGACATGTACTGAGAGACTGTCTCTGCCAGAGCCGTCCCTTGGGTATGGCGAATCTATACCCTTGGGACAGTTTGTCAGTTTGACCGTGTGCTTGATTGTTTGATTGTTTGTTTGAACAGTGTGAATTGGGAGTGCTTTGTTCCAGGTGGGGCCTGACTGGTATAAAAAGGCAGTCAGCAGCGAATCAGCTGAGCGGCGAACAGCAGAGGCTAACAGGGGGAGTTTGCCTGGGAGTTCGCCTCAGGAGAGCCCACTGAGGCTTACATCTCGCGGGTTTCAGGGAGTTGCTGCAACAGCTGAGGAAGCTCTTAGAAGGAAGGTGATATGGAAGGTGAGCGTTCAGTTGTTGTAACCTGCACAGGTTGTGCCATGTTTGTCTTTCTTCCACAGGACAGAAGCGACTTTGTCTGTACAAAGTGCAAGCTGGTCTCCATATTGGAAGAGAAGGTTCGAAGTCTGGAGAAACAAGTATCAACCCTGTGTTGCATACGAGAAAATGAAGATTTCCTGGACAGATGTCAGGATATGCTTCTACGGGCACAACGTTCTGAAGAATCAGAGCAGGTTGCACAGAGGGGACTGAGGGATGGTGAAGAAAATTGGTAGCATGTGACCTCCAGAAGAAGAAAGAGGAGCGTCCATGTACCAGCAATGCAGATACGGGTGAGCAACCGTTTTCATGTTCTCTCCACAGGTACTAATGCAGAGAGTGGAGTAGATGATACAGCTGAAGGAAGGGAGCAGAAGGAGACTCCATCGATTGGAAGGTATGAGATGCACTGTCCTAGAGATGGGCGTTCCTCGATGACCGCTCCCAAGAGAAGGAGGAGGAGGGTGGTGGTGGTCGGGGACTCCCTCCTCAGGGGGACTGAGTCATCTATCTGCCACCCCGACCGAGAAAACCGAGAGGTCTGCTGCTTGCCAGGAGCTAGGATTCACGATGTGACGGAGAGACTGCCGAGACTCATCAAGCCCTCGGATCGCTACCCCTTCCTGCTTCTCCACGTGGGCACCAATGATACTGCCAAGAATGACCTTGAGCGGATCACTGCAGACTATGTGGCTCTGGGAAGAAGGATAAAGGAGTTTGACGCGCAAGTGGTGTTCTCGTCCATCCTCCCTGTGCAGGGAAAAGGCCTGGGTAGAAACCGTCGAATTGTGGAAGTTAACGAATGGCTACGCAGGTGGTGTCGGAGAGAAGGCTTTGGATTCTTTGACCATGGGATGGTGTTCCAAGAAGGAGGAGTGCTAGGCAGAGACGGGCTCTACCTAACGAAGAGAGGGAAGAGCATCTTCGCAAGAAGGCTGGCTAACCTAGTGAGGAGGGCTTTAAACTAGGTTCACCGGGGGAAGGAGACCAAAGCCCTGAGGTAAGTGGGGAAATGGGATACCGGGAGGAAGCATGAGCAGGAGAGTGCAAGAGGGGACTCCTGTCTCAGACTGAGAAAGCGGGACAATCAGCGAGTTATCTTATGTGCCTGTACACAAATGCAAGAAGCCTGGGAAACAAGCAGGGAGAACTGGAAGTCCTGGCACAGTCAAGGAACTATGATGTGTGACAAAGTTCCTCCTCTATCTTGGTGGGTCCTGCGCTTATTGGCAGATTTTCTTGCCTCAAAGATTCACCATGTGGGTTGGGGAACAGCCCAGAGACCTTCCCCTCTGGTAGAACCCACAGTCCAGGTCAATTGGGAGGTTTGGGGGGAACCCGGTCCCACCCTCTGCTCCAGGTTCCAGCCCAGGGCCCTGTGGACTGCAGCTGTCTATAGTGCCTCCTGTAACAGCTGCATGACAGCTACAACTCCCTAGGCTAGTTCCCCATGGCCTCCTCCAAACACCTTCCTTATTCTCACCACAGGACCTTCCTCCTGGTGTCTGATAACGCTTGTGCTCCTCAGTCCTCCAGCAGCACACCCTCTCACTCTCAGCTCCTTGCGCCTCTTGCTCCCAGCTCCTCACACTCCCACCACAAACTGGGGTGAGCTCCTTTTTAAAACCCAGGTGCCCTGATTAGCCTGCCTTAATTGATTCTAGAAGCTTCTTCTTAATTAGCTCCATGTGTCCTAATTAGCCTGCCTGCCTTAACTGGTTCTAGCAGGCTCCTGATTACTCTAGTACAGCCCCTGCTCTGGTCACTCAGGGAACAGAAAACTACTCATCCAGTGACCAGTATATTTGCCCTCTACCAGACCCCTGTACCCCACTGGTCTGGGTCTGTCACAGATGTCATTAGAATAACAGAGACTTGGTGGGATAACTCACATGACTGGAGTACTGTCATGGATGGATATAAACTGTTCAGGAAGGACAGGCAGGGCAGAAAAGGTGGAGGAGTTGCATTGTATGTAAGAGAGGAGTATGACTGCTCAGAGCTCTGGTATGAAACTGCAGAAAAACCTGAGAGTCTCTGGATTAAGTTTAGAAGTGTGAGCAACAAGGGTGATGTCGTGGTGGGAGTCTGCTATAGACCACCAGACCAGGGGGATGAGGTGGACGAGGCTTTCTTCCGGCAACTAGTAGAAGTTACTAGATCGCAGGCCCTGGTTCTCATGGGAGACTTTAATCACCCTGATATTGGCTGGGAGAGCAATACAGCGGTGCACAGACAATCCAGGAAGTTTTTGGAAAGCGTAGGGGACAATTTCCTGGTGCAAGTACTGGAGGAACCAACTAGGGGCAGAGCTCTTCTAGACCTGCTGCTCACAAATCGGGAAGAATTAGTAGGGGAAGCAAAAGTGGATGGGAACCTGGGAGGCAGTGACCATGAGATGGTCGAGTTCAGGATCCTGACACAAGGAAGAAAGGAGAGCAGCAGAATACAGACCCTGGACTTCAGAAAAGCAGACTTTGACTCCGTCAGGGAACTGATGGGCAGGATCCCTTGGGAGAATAACATGAGGGGGAAAGGAGTCCAGGAGAGCTGGCTGTATTTTAAAGAATCCTTATTGAGGTTGCAGGAAAAAACCATCCCAATGTGTAGAAAGAACAGTAAATATGGCAGGCGACCAGCTTGGCTTAACAGTGAAATCCTTGCTGATCTTAAACACAAAAAAGAAGCTTACAAGAAGTGGAAGATTGGACAAATGACCAGGGAGGAGTATAAGAATATTGCTCAGGCATGCAGGAGTGAAATCAGGAAGGCCAAATCACACTTGGAGTTGCAGCTAGCAAGAGATGTTAAGAGTAACAAGAAGGGTTTCTTCAGATATGTTAGCAACAAGAAGAAAGTCAAGGAAAGTGTGGGCCCTTTACTGAATGAGGGAGGCAACCTAGTGAGCGAGGATGTGGAAAAAGCTAATGTACTCAATGATTTTTTTGCCTCTGTCTTCACAAACAAGGGCAGCTCCCAGACTGCTGCACTGGGCAGCACAGTATGGGGAGAAGGTGACCAGCCCTCTGTGGAGAAAGAAGTGGTTCGGGACTATTTAGAAAAACTGGACGAGCACAAGTCCATGGGGCCGGATGCACTGCATCCGAGGGTGCTAAAGGAGTTGGCGGATGTGATTGCAGAGCCATTGGCCATTATCTTTGAAAACTCATGGCGATCGGGGGAGGTCCCAGATGACTGGAAAAAGGCTAATATAGTGCTCATCTTTAAAAAAGGGAAGGAGGAGGATCCGGGGAACTAAGGCCAGTCAGCCTCACCTCAGTCCCTGGAAAAATCATGGAGCAGGTCCTCAAGGAATCAATTCTGAAGAACTTAGAGGAGAGGAAAGTGATCAGGAACAGTCAGCATGGATTCATCAAGGGCAAGTCATGCCTGACTAACCTAATTGCTTTCTATGAGGAGATAACTGTCTCTGTGGATGAGGGGAAAGCAGTGCATGTATTATTCCTTGACTTTAGCAAAGCTTTTGATACGGTCTCCCATAGTATTCTTGCCACCAAGTTAAAGAAGTATGGGCTGGATGAATGGACTATAAGGTGGATAGAAAGCTGGCTAGATCGTCGGGCTCAATGGGTAGTGATCAATGGCTCCATGTCTAGTTGGCAGCCGGTTTCAAGTGGAGTGCCCCAGGGGTTAGTCCTGGGGCCGGTTTTGTTCAATATCTTCATTAATGATCTGGAGGATGGCGTGGACTGCACTCTCAGCAAGTTTGCAGATGACACTAAACTGGGAGGAGTGGTAGATACGCTGGAGGGTAGGGATAGGATACAGAGGGACCTAGACAAATTAGAGGATTGGGCCAAAAGAAACCTGATGAGGTTCAACAAGGACAAGTGCAGAGTCCTGCACTTAGGACAGAAGAATCCCATGCACTGTTATAGATTAGGGACCGAATGGCTAGGAAGCAGTTCTGAAGAAAAGGACCTAGGGGTTACAGTGGACGAGAAGCTGGATATGAGTCGACAGTGTGCCCTTGTTGCCAAGAAGGCTAACAGCATTTTGGGCTGTATAAGTAGGGGCATTGCCAGCAGATCGAGGGATGTGATCCTTCCCCTCTATTCGACATTGGTGAGGCCTCACCTGGAGTACTGTGTCCAGTTTTGGGCCCCACACTACAAGAAGGATGTGGAAAAATTGGAAAGAGTCCTGCGGAGAGCAACAAAAATGATTAGGGGGCTGGAGCACATGAGTTATGAGGAGAGGCTGAGGGAACTGGGATTGTTTAGTCTGCAGAAGAGAAGAATGAGGGGGGATCTGATACCTGCTTTCAACTACCTGAAGGGGGGTTCCAAAGAGGATGGATCTAGACTGTTCTCAGTGCTACCTAATGACAGAACAAGGAGCAATGGTCTCAAGTTGCAGTTGGGGAGGTTTAGGTTGGATATTAGGAAAAACTTTTTCACTAGGAGGGTGGCGAAGCACTGGAATGGGTTACCTAGGGAGGTGGTGGAATCTCCTTCCTTAGAGGTTTTTAAGGTCAGGCTTGACAAAGCCCTGGCTGGGATGATTTAGTTGGGAGTTGGTCCTGCTTTGAGCAGGGGGTTGGACTAGATGACCTCCTGAGGTCCCTTCCAACCCTGATATTCTATGATTCTATGAATCGGGGCGACTGCCCCAGGCCCCACGCTTTCGAGGGCCCCATGCTTGGATAAAATTGTGAGAAGATGGGCGGGGAGGTAAGGTGGGAAGCGGGCGGGCGAGCAGGGTGAGGAGGCGAACAGGGAGGCGAGCGGCAGGCGGGCAGCCAGGATGGGGGTGAGGAGGCAGGCAGTTGGGTGCAGGGATGAGGAAGTAAGCAGTGGCCACCCCCCTTTCAGAACCTCCCGCCCCCCAGCGGGCCTCGTCAATCAGTGCCTCCCACTCCCTCGCAGCGCCTACCGTGGATCAGATGTTTCACCTGCTGCGTCAGGAGGTGCTGAGGAGGAAGGGAGAGGTGCAAGGGCGCAGCATGCTCAGGGGAGGGGGCGGGACTGGGCAGGGAAGAGGCAGGGTGGGGATGGGGGCCTTGAGGGAAGGGGTGGACTGAGGGCAGAGCCAGGAGGAGCACCCCCCCAGCAGATTAGAAACTTGGCGCCTATGTCCCGGGCACTGCACCTCCCTAGGGACGGCCCTGGTCTCTGCCACAAAGAATTCTCAATCTAAATACCAAAATCATTTTGAAAGTAAAACTCAAAAGCGCAAAGGTAGTATCTTACCAATTCTGTGTGTTGGAACAGTTTTTTGCTTATCAGGAAGTACAAAATTGCTTTCATGTGAATACAAAGCTCTTGAATTTACCATCCCATAGAAAGGAGATGAAAACCATTCATACAGTTTCTGTAAGCATAAAATTCTGTTGCCTTTGGAAGCCACTTACCTGTGAAGTCTCAGTCCCAGGGGGGAAAATCCACGGCTCTTGCCGAAGAATCTTCTGCATTATGTTCAGCCCATAGAAATTACAAAGATTTCTAATAAGGAATATTTGAGGCCAAGGTGTTTGGGCCTTTTCAACCAGATTTTTCATTGAATTCACAAGTTGGGACTGTTTCTCTGCAGTTTCAGCACTGGTCCATGTATTCTGGTCTGCAGCTGCCAAGCAGAGTTCAGTATTAGTCCCAAACCAATACACTATTGCTGCCTAGCTTCACAGTTGTTCAAACCTCATACGCAATGAAATCCCTGCAGTAAAGTTACCATAGTATTTAAGATAAAAGGGGAAAAAAGGAGAAAGTCAAGAAAGACCCTATTTGAATGGATACACTTCATCTGAACCAGAAGGAACAGTCCTTCCATTAACCCTTTGGTAGTGAAGATTTACAAACTATAAAATGCAATACCACTTCTCAGTGGAAAATTGCTTCATGGATAAAATTCTTCCTATAGGACTAAATGAGGCCACCATTAATTTTATGGCAACAGTGAGTTTGGTCTGGAAGAACCTATAGCATTCAGAGAGGTCAGACACTTTTACAGATTCACCGATTTTAAGGTAAAAAAGGCTCATTGCGTCCATCCAGTCCACCTCCTACATAATCTTGTAAATCAAGATTGGATATTTTTCTAAAAGCTCTGCTCCAGGAATTATTTGGGGGACATTCTGTAGCCTGTGCTGTACAAGAGGTCATACTAGATGATCACAATAATCTCTTCTGATCTGTGAATCTGAATAACCTGGGCCAGAGAATCTCCCCCAGTGATTCCCGCATCTGGCCCAATAACTCCTGGTTGAGCTACAGCACAGCTTTGAGAAAGAGACATCTATTCTTGATTTAAATACTTATTTTAAGAAGTTTTTACCTTGTCTCTTTTAATTTGGTAACCTAATACCAAGTGAAATTGGGAGAAAAGATCATTTCACTAAAGTCAGCTGGCTAAATGTGCTGTCTATATAGAAGTGGGACACTTATTATTGTAGGTACCACACACTTCTGTACATCTTGCCATTTAAAGTTGTATTTTTCAGTAATGATCCAAGTTGGTTGGAAAATGGAATTTCTGTTCTGTGGGAAATTCTGACATTTCTAAATTTGTTTTGTCTCAAATCACGAGGAAAAGTCAAAATCTCGAAATATTTCATGTATGAAATATTTCGATTCAGAAACATCTGTAAGCAGGGTCTGAATGAGCTCTCCTCTGACACCTAGTGGTGAGTTGGGGAAAAGGACTTCAGGAGCCGACTTTGCATAGACTTGCCCACTCTGCCTAGGTGTGCAGCATGGTGGAGCTGCTTTGCCCAAATGATCACTTTTAGCTGGTGTTGGATTGCAAGTCACGTTGGTATTGGGTGCAGGAGTGATAAAGTGTTGTCATCCTTGTTGTGTGCATAAAGGGCAGAAGATCTGTGCTTGGCATACCCTGATTGAGGGGTTCTCCCTCAACTGAATTGCACTCGCTAAGCTGTGGGTAGAGGTGCCAAAGCCCAGTGCAAAGGTGAGAGAATGAGGACAGGTGTCTGTACCTGGTGGTGTGGGTTCTAAGGGGTCTAGACTCCATTTGTACTTCCCCCTCCCCACTGTTTAATGACAGAGCTGATTAAGATTCAGCTGAGTCTTTTGTTTTGGATCACTAGAGCTGAAATCACTGATGACCACGTCTAAGCATTAGAGCTGCTATGGGACAGCGTCTCTGGTAAAAGTGACTGCCCCGCCTGCATTAGCAGTGAGGCTCCCCCAGTAACAGCTGTAATCCCTGAGAGCCGTATTAAGTGGTGGGACCTGAAGATATTTCAGAGGCTGCAGTAGAGAGAGCAGTGGTGGGGTGAGTGATGGCAGAGCAGCTGATATAAGAGTGAGAAGCTGACAGAGCGACCTACAGCGGAGTGAACTTGCAGAGTAAGAAGCTGATGGCGCACTGAGCAGCAGTAAAGCAAGTGGCCAATGAGATGGCTGATGGTGGAGTGAGCAGTGGTGATGCAAGTAGCCAACAGTGGAGTGACAGCTGAGGCATTGCTCAGTATCCAGTGCCCCATGGGTGGGAGGTGAACTCATGCAAATGCACCTCTGAACTCTTGGTCTTCGATGACCAAGGACAACAACTGTGAGTCGGGGACCCAGGGGTGATGTGTAATTTTCCCAGATTCCTTGGTGGGGGCTTGAGCCAGTTCTGTGATGTATTATCAAAAGGAAGCCCTAGATACTGAACCTGGCCCTTGTTGCTGCTAACTCCATCTGGCAGAAGGGTTACACATAGAAACAACCTTATTGAAACAAAATGTTAGATAATGTGAAAACATTTCAGTTTGATCATGTCATACATAATATAAGGTAATATAATATATGAAAGTCAAAATGAGAAAATTGAACTGAAATGATAAAGTTAAAACAAAAGGTAAAAATCAAAATGAAACAATGAAAAAGTCAATATCAAATAAAATGCTCCATTTCAATTTCAAAATGTTTCAAAACTTTTCTGTTGAAAATTTCATCAAAATCGACGAGTTCCCACAAAACGTTTCAGTTTGGAAGGGACAGCATTTTTGAATGGAAAACTGTTCAGCTGCAAATGTTTTGCTCAGCTCTGGAAATTACTCTGGACAAACACAACCCTTAAAGCAAACAACATCCAGGAAGCTGTATGGTTCTCTAAACAATCTCCCCTGATGTCCAGCATGACTGGAAAACGGTTAGAAACTCCACTCACCACTTGGCAGCTCTCTGCCAAGCACAGCTGCAACGTTACCGATGGCGAGTCGGAGCTTAGCAATGAACTGCAGGTTTTCAATGCTGGTGACGGTGGCAGAGCTGGGAGCAGACAGATCTGCAGTGGAGAGCACGTGCTCCGAATTCCGGCTGGCGTCTTCTTGAAAGGAGGAATACATAAAATCCTGTTTGAGAGAGAGAATTTTAAAAAATGTACAGTAGTGAACAGATACCGCTGTGTAAAGGGGATGCAGTTGGTTGGGCTGTCTGTATTTTTGTAACTCAAAGGGATGGGGAGGAGCAGGGATGGGGGTGTGCTTGGGGCGGAGGCAGGGAAGAGGTCGGGGTAGGGGCTTGGAGGAAGGGGTGGAATGGGGGTGGGGGCTTTGGGGAAGGGGAGGTATGGGGGCAGGGCAGGGGTGGAGTGGTGCGTCAAGCACCCCCCAGCTAGAAGGGAAGTCGGTGCCTATGCCCCTTAGTTTCTTTGAAAGTCAGTGAGATTTAGGCTCCAAAGTACCTAAAAATTATTTCTGAAAATGGGAGAACTGGCCATTAATTGTGTGTTTCTCCTTTTCTGGGTGCCCAACATGAGATACCTGGGCCTGACTTGTAGAAGTGCTGACTACTCACAGCTGCAGCTGAGGTCAATGGGAGCTGTGCTATGAACATAGAAAATGCTAAGTACTCTGAAAAGTCAGATCTCAAATTGGGCACCCAAAATTAGTGGACACTTTTGAGAATTTGGCCTTAATCCCTCTGAATCTCAGTTTGACAGCTGTAAAATGGGCATAATAATATCACCTTATCTCACAGGGGTGCAGTGAAGATTGATTTTGTGAAGGTCAGTTCATTAAAGTTTGTGAAGCACTTTGATAACGTAGCAAGAGCACCATTAATAATTCTGTATTCAGAGCAGGGTCTGGGTGGTGTGCAGAGAAAAAGGCGGGGGCACACAAGTTTGTACAACACCTAGTACAATGGGGTCATGGTCCATGATTAATACTCCTAGGCACTACACTACACTACACTACACACAGAAAGAAAGAAAGAAAGAAAGAAAGAAAGAAAGAAAGAAAGAAAGAAAGAAAGAAAGAAATTGAGTAACATACACTGAATGAAGCAGGGATTCTATGGAAAAAACTAGTATGTGATTATGTAATTTCAGACTATATCATAATGCAGTGGTTCTCAACCAGTGGTCTGGGGCCCCCTGTGGGCTGTGAGCAGGTTTCAGGGAGGTTGCAAAGCAGGGCCAATGTTAGACTTACTCGGGCCCAGGGCAGAAAGCTGAAGCCCCACCACTTGGGTCTTGTAGTGAGGCAGGGTGGCCTCCCGAGGACCCGGAGTGGGAGGCCCCCGCACTGAGCCCTGGTGGCTGGAACCAGGGCCTAGTTGCCCCTTCCCCCAGGAAGTGGGTGGGAGGGGCAGGAAGTATAAAAGGCCGCCCAGAAAGCTCAGTAGGGAGGCAATCACTGGAGATACCAGATGATTCCTGTGGCCTCCCGAGCTGGGAAGCAGCAGCGGTTGCCAAGGGAGAAGAGGACTGGCCTGGGACACTGGGGCCGCTCGCTGATTCAGACCTGGAGGAGGCAGACAACTGGCCCGGACCGCCCAGATCGCCATCAGACCTGACCCCGGAGGGAGAAGATGACTGGCCAGGACCACCAACGGACCAGACCCCCAAAGACTTGCTCACAGTCCCGGAAGCCACCATCAACCTCGACTCCTCCTCACAGCAACAGGTACACCAAGAAGGAGAGTGTGGAGATGGCCCAGGGGTAGCAGACCCCTGTCTGGCTGCAACGCTGACAGAGGGTGAGTCAGCGTGTTGCGGCATGGATCCCCACTGACCCAGTGACAAAGCGCTTTGTCACTGCTAGGGCCCTGGGCCGGGATGTAGTGGAGTGGGTGGGCCTGCAATCCTCTCTGCCACCCCAACCAGAGGGTGGCAGTCTCCCCTTCCTCAGGCCAGAAGCCTGAGCCTCAGACTCTTTGTTGCCCTGCCTTGAACCAGGGCCTGGGCTAACTGACTGTTTGTTTCCCATCCAACCTGAGCATAGGCCTGGGCCCCAGCTGCGAGCGGAGACAGCTTCATTCCCTATGGTGGCTGACGTATCAGTGACGTAGTGAGGCGGGGTGGCCTCCCGAGGACCTGCAGTGGGAGGGCCCCCGCACTGAGCCACTACACTCTGAAACCCCTGGGACTGCAGTCGAAGCCTGAGAATGTAACTTGGGGGGGGGGGGGCTGGTGGTGGTCGGGTCCCAGGCAATTGTCCTGTTTGCTATCCCCTAACACCCACCCTGGCTTTTATA